TCTCCGTTTCTCCTTGGAGGAAATACCCCTGCCCTCTCTCCCTTTCGTTTCCTGGGTACCAGTGAAGCTGCGGGTCAGGCCCATCACTTGGCCTGTGTGCTCACTTGCTCCCCCAACTGTCCAATGAGAGTGAGTCCTGGGACTTGTGCTGCAAATGACCAAGAAGAGGCCTCTTTTACATGGGACCAGAACTTAGAATACCATGAGCCCGGACCGCAGAAGACCATATGCTTGATGCCCAGCAAGCAAAGGCCGAGCCGAGTGATCTAGAGAGATGACTCCTGTGGACATTCGATTGATTCTCCAGGTCAAGTAATGCCTGGATTGTTCAATTTCCAGAGCCAGGAAATCCCCTGCCAAGCACAAACCGGTTTGAGTCAGCTTTTCTGTCATTTGCATCAGAATGAGTCCACAATTCACTTGGTGAACTTTCTTAACCGCCCTGAACTTCAGTTTCCTCATCTAGAAAATTGTTGTAGAAAGGTCATTGTGGGACCCTGGGAAGTGCGGATCCGAGTAAAGTGTTTAAGGTTGCGCCTGACAGGGTAGACCCCACAAAACAAACTCACCTCCATGGAATTTCTTCCAACTAATAGGTGACCCTAGATAGGGTTCCTCAAGGGGGAGTGGTTGGTGACTTTGAACCACATGGTTAGGAATCCAGCATTTACCAGACGGCTCCACCAGGCTTCTTAGGATAGGGTCCGAAAAACCAAACTCACTGCCATCCAGTCCAACCCTCCTCATAGCGACCCCACAGGGCAGGGTAGAACGGCCTGGCTGGCTTCTAAGACGTCCCTCTTTATGGGAGAGGGAATCTTTGCTTTCTCTCCAGGAGCAACTGGTGGCTTCAAACCGCAGACCTTTTGGTTAGCAGCCCGACACAGAGCCCCAAAGCCACCAGGACCCCATGTAGAATGGGGTCGGCCCTCCAAAACACCAGCTCTTAGATGATCTTTACGGGGTTGTCAATCACCTGATGGGTGAATTGTGGCCCCCAGAGGGAAACTGCCAGTCCTTATGACTCTGTGGGACCCCTAGAAATGTTGACCGGGATGAGGGAGGAACACCCACTGAAGGGAGGGCTGCCTAAGTCATCCAGGTCACAGGGGCACCAAGGTTGTCCTTGGTATACCGTCTGATGTGAGTACAGCACTGGACAGTTGAGAGAGTCTGTCCCCACCAATGACTGCTTCTTCCATGTAATTCTCCCAGTTGAATCAAGCCCATATGAAAGATGAGGAGTGGGGGGCTGGCTCTGCTCCTCCCGGACACCTATTAGTGCTGCCACCCTGGTATAGTCTCTGCCAAGCCTCGGCCCTAACCAGGCTCCACTGTGACTACTAGATGGGGACTTTGGAGGCTACGTCATCGGTTTCAAAGGGCAAAAAGGAGTCACAAACTGCAAGGCTTGGGCCCCTTAATCCTTTTAGGGAAGGCCAGCCCAGTCTTCTTGAATCTGCTGTCTCCTGCAAAGGGAGCCTTTCCGAAAGGTCCTGTTTCCCCTTTCTGATTGCCGGCAGTCTGGGCACTACACCAGCTCACAGCGCTTCCCTCACCCCAGGGAGTCTGACGCAGTTTTACTAAAGGAAACCACGCAAGTCTCACAGCTTGGCAAGACCTTTCCTTCCGGCCAGGCCAGGATGCTAGGGTGTGGGGGAGGGTGTGAACGGCAAGCATCTCCTACTTCCCCACATAAGCACCAGCTTATCTGCCAGACTTCTAGCTGAGAACTGAGCTCACCTTGGGTTTTCTCACGGAGCCTTCTTGAGCTTCAGTTTTCTTGTCTGTAAAATGGGGACATTTCGTAGTTAAACTCACTGCCATCAGTAGTGATCCTATAGGACAGGGTAGAACTGCCCCTTTGAGTTTCTGAGACTGTTATTGTTAATGGGAATAGAGAGCCCTGTCTTTCTCCTGAGGAGCAGTTGGTGGTTTCAATGTACTTAGGAGCCCTGGTGGTGCTGTCAGGGAAGCATTGGACTGCTAGCTCCAAGGTCTGCGGTTCAAACCCACCAGCCATTCCATGGGACAAAGATGAGGCTGTCTGCTCCCGTAAAGATTTACAGCTTCTGGAAATAGATCTACAAACATATAAATATATGTTAGGTATTAAGGTAGCAGATTGACATTGGGTCTTGCCTCAACTACTCCCTCAATGCAAGAACACTTTGTTCTAATAACCTGGCATTCCGTGATGCTCACCTTCCCGACATGATTGCTGAAGACAAAATGGGTGCATAAGCAAATGTGGTGAAGAAAGTGGATGGTGCCTGGCTATCAAAAGATATAGCATCTAGGGTCTTAAAGGCTTGAAGATAAACAAGTGGCCATCTAACTGAGAAGCAACAAAGCCCACATGGAAGAAGCACACCAGCCTGTGTGATCAGGAGATATCGATGGGATCAGGTATCAGGCATCAAAGACCCAGAACAACAGAAAAAATCATATCAATGTGAATGAGGGAGAGTGCGGAGTAGAGACCCAAAGCCTATCTGTAGAGAATTGGACATACCCTTACAGAAGGGTGTGTTAGTCTGGGTATTTTATAGAAACAAATCCATAAAACCTCATGTATAAGAGAGAGTTTTATATAAAGGCTAAGCACACATTCAGAAAACATCCCAACCTAGTGCTGCCCAAGCCCACAAGTTCAACACTACCCATATGTCTGACACCAATCCACAAAGTCCTCCTCCATTTCACAAAACATACGCTATGACGCCAACTGCTGGAGGAAAGCCGAATCAGTGAACATGTAAGCATTTTAAGGCTGGCAGGGGTCTCCACACGGCTGCTCTAGCACCTAGGGCTGCATCGGGGTAGGTCCATGTGGTTTATCCTCAGGGATGTCTTTCAGGAAGTGAGCCTTCCCAGCTGAAGCAGGGAACTGGGTAAGGCAGCGGCACCCTAGTCCGACCATCAGAAAGCAAGAGACCTGAGAACTAGAAAGGCGAGACTCACTGAGCCATTTATCCCTCCGCCCTTCAATTAACCCCACATGTGTTTATCAGCCAGGTTGGCACAATAAACTAACTACCTCAAAGGGTCACAATGAAGAGCCAGTCAGGGTACTGTATAGCACTGATGAAACATACAACTTTCCTCAAGTTCTTTAATGCTTCCTCCTCCCCTCCCACTATTGTGACTCCAATTCTACCTTACAAATCTGGCTAGACCAGAGCATGTACACTGGTACAGATAAGAGCTGGAAACACAGGGAATTCAGGACAGATAAACCTCTCAGGACCAATATTGAAAGTAGCGATACCAGGAGCGGAAGGGGAAGAAGAGAGGAGAAAAGGGGGGACCGATCATAATGATCTACATTTACCCCCTCCCTGGGGGACGGACAACAGAAAAATGGGTGAAGGGAGACATCAGTCAGGGTAAGACGTGAAAAAAAAAAAATTTATAAATTATCAAGGGTTCATGGGGGGGGGGGAAGAGGAGTTGATACCGAGGGCTCAAGTAGAAACAAATGTTTTGAGAATGATGATGGCAACAAATGTACAAATATGCTTGACACAATGGATGGATGGATGGATGGCTTGAGATAAGAGCTGTACGAGCCACCAATAAAATGATGGGGGGAAAAACAAAAGAAGATTTACAGCTTCAGAGAGTCTCTGAGTTAAAACCGACGATGGCAGGGGGTTTGGGTGAGAGAATTACGGAAAGCGAAGTGCATGCGATCACAGCATAAGACCCAGCACAGAATAACAGGCGTTCTGCCCCGCTGTCCCCAAGGACGCACGTCTGAGAAACACTCGCTGCTAATGACGGTGGAGGGGGGATTCGAACCGGGTCTTCTACGACCCCAAGCCCAGATCGCGTCCACTGCCGGAGCGCTGGCGGAGCCTTTGCCTCCCGGCCCTCGGGGCGCCCGCCCTCCCGGGGCGCCCGCCCTCGCAGACGCTGGACTTGCTGGGAAGGAACGCGGCTTCCTTCCCGCTCGTCCACTCAGCTCCGCGTCGACCCAGACCTTGACCCCGCGGAACCGCCTGCGCAACGGGGCCTCCCGTGACTCACGCAGGAGTGTGATGGGCATGAGAGGCGGGATTTGGGTGCCCGTGGGTCCCCCAGGGGAGCGAGGGTGAGCGTCACACCCACGGATCCTCTACCGCAGGGCTCACCCTGCCTCCCTCTGGTTGGTCCCTCTTGATGACGGAGGTGGGAGCTCCACTTCGATGGCCAATGAGGAAGCTCACAGCATGCTGCTAGTTGCCGTGGCAACAGGAGCTGCATCTCCCTTCCAGGGCTGAGCCATCTCTCTCTTCCCTGCATCAGCGGTTATAAGGTGTGGCCCAGCTCTACCTTTGAGTGTCGTGGGGGTCGGAAGTTGGGGGACGAGTAAGATGCGAACCCTTGACAAATACGCCAACTGTGTTGATGGGTCCCAGGGCCCCACGATTGATCAGAGAAGGCTGCCCACCAAGCAGCGTTCAATGATAAGGCCCACATGACCCCGGTTTACGGCAGTGGCGTGGTCAGAGCCCCACAAGGGCACACCTAGGAGGTGAGGCAGTGCGTGAGACAGCAGGTGGTTAGGAACCAGATTAAGGGCTTCTAGGACAGGCCCACCCAGAGGGTGGGGGACCAACCGCAGTAGCCACACTGGATTGTGTACCTCACGCTGTCCTGGGCAGGAAGGGAGAGCCAACGGTCACTAAGGCCATCCCCAGCCTCAAGGCAGCTGGCTCTGGGTCTTAGGTCCAGTCACGACCTGTCTGGGACATTCATTAACCTCATACCAGAGGTGGGTCTGCAGAAAATGGCGCCCGTGGCAATTAGTTTTAAATGGCTGAATGATCTCTCACAGGCCAGCAATGGAAACTGCCATGGCGAATAGAAACTGTGTGTTGGCGCCCCCACCCCCAAGGTGGTGCCCAGGGCACGTGCATACCTACCATACCCTAGCTATGCCTCTGCTCACACTCCTCCTGGGACAGAGGAGGTGATCGGGTTCATTACCCCCATTTCACAGATGGAGAAACCGAAGACTGAGTGGTCAAGTGCCTCACCCTTGGGCCCTGGGGCCTGGTTCGGCGCACAAGCAGGGCTCGCCCTGGTGCCGTGGCTTGTTGTGAAGAAGCAACAGCTCAGACTCTGCCCATTTTTTGTGCATGGTGGGGATGCCCAGGCCAACTGAATCCCATCAGATGAGGAAGGTGAGTCAGGCAGAGAGCCTTCGCCTGCCCCCGGTGGGCCTGTGCGTGTATGTGTGTGTGTGCAAGCTGATACTTCCTCTGCTTATCACCCTGGGGGTGAATCTAATGGCCCCCATTCCTGGCCTCATGAAGCCCATCCCCTTCGGGTGACAAATGTCCAGTGACCTCCAGTGTGACAAGTGCTGCAGGGTGACACTGACAAAGAGCTCAGTGACAGCACAAGAGAAGAGGGCTTCGATCTGCCCAGAGAAGCCAGGAAGACCTCCTGGAGGAGGCAGCCTTTCTGATGATACACAACACTTTAGACAGAGGTTGCTAGACAGACAAGCAAGGGAGGGCATCTCAGACAAATGGCCTCAAACAGGACCATGTGCCCCACAGTTGAGGGCTTTCTGCTCCCTGCTGGTACTCAGCTACGCTTTCCTTAAACTGATCGATTCACGGAGCTCCCCAAGGAGCACCATCTTTCTGTGACTCCGGTTCTCCAAACTCAACAGCAGCCCAAACTGACCTATGGTCCCAGAGGTCAGGACAGTAGGCACAGGTGGCGACTGGATGGCCCCACCGAGGGACCCTAGGGGGTGCTGATGATGTGCTGCTTCTTGATCTGAGCACGCAGTCCCCAGGCGGGCTCCTTTGGTGAACATCTGCCCAGCCACATGTCTGAGCCGTGTTCACATTTCTGTCTGCAGATTCTACTTCAGGAGCGCTGGTGGCACAGCGCTGAAGCACTCAACAGCTAACCGGTCAGCGGTCTGTAGCGGCCAGCCGCTCCTCAGCAGAACGATGCAGCAGTGCGCGTCCATCGGTTTGACAGCTTTGGGAGCCCTCTAGGGTCAAGATGAGTAGAAATTGTCTGGACCGCAACAGGGTTTAAATTCTACGGCAGGGTTTGTTTGTTTTTGTAAGTTGATTGCCTCCTACAAATAGCGTAAATACGGTAACTAAAATTTCATGGTGATCATTGAGGTGGTGCAGAATATGCTGTGTATATTTCAGATTATTCAAAAATGACAACAAGACATGTGAAAGTCTTGTAGAGAATGCCCAGGAGTCTCCAGGGAGAGGAAGCAGGTAATGAGCTCGGCTGCTAACCAGAAGGCGGGAGGTTCAAGTTCATTCGGAGGTGCCTCAAAAGGAAGTCCCAGTAGTTTGTGTCTGACAGAATCACCCACTGGAGCCTGTGCAGTTCAACTCTACTCGCACACACGGAGTTGCCAGGAGTCAAAGTCCACTCCACCAGTCCCTAGTTTGGGGGACACTCAGACTCCAGAGAACTCGTCTCTAGATGCCAGCATTGAAATGCTCAGTCCTAGAGCTGGAAAACTCAACTCATTTCTGTGGAACTGACTCTAACTCTTAGCGATCCTCTGGGACAGGGTAGAATTGCCTCTGTGTGTTTTTCAGACAGCATCTCTTAACGGGAGTTTACTGCAGAGCAGCTGGTGGTTTTGAACTGCTGACCTTGTGGTTAGCAGTCCAGTGTGTAACCCACTAGCCACCAGTGCTAGGAAGAGGGTAAGAAGCTTGGAGACTCTTCCTGAGGCACAGGGTGGTCACCACCCTCTGTGATCCTTCAAATGGGTGTGCCTGGCTGGCCCTGGGAGGCTGAGGGGCCTACGAAGAGGTGACCTTTCCTCCCAGACTCCCACCCAGCAGGGATGGCCAAGAGGCAGGGCCCTGCAACGGTGGGTCTTTCTGGTTCCACGTGAGCTCCTGGAGGGAAGTGGGTGTCTCTCATGCCTGGGTCCATGGTGCCCAGTCTAGGGCCTGGTACACAAGACGTTTCTGAGGACCTTTCCTGCCAAGGCTCCAATCTTTCATTAAAAATGGGGGGTGGGGTGCTGGTCTGTTTGGAAAGTAGTGAGTTCCCTGTCACCAGGGGTGTTCAACCACAAGCTGGCAGACCACTGAAGGTCTACATGGGATGAGAGACCCAAGGCGAGATTGTACGGGAGAGCTCCTTGTCAGTCCTTTTGTACGGGAGAGCTGAATACGGATGGAGATTGGGCCCCAAGGGGGTGGGGTGGGGAGGCCGTGAGAATAAACAGGAAAACCCAGACCTGCCTGCCCATTGGTCCCGCCCAACCAAGCTGGGAGATAGACTCTTCCAGATCTTAGCTGCCCAACTGCTCACATTGGCTACTCCTGCTCACCCACCCCCATCCTCCTTCCTCTGGGACTTTATTCCTCATCCCTGCAGGATTCACCCTCTCCCCTACTTTGAAAAGCAGCCTCCTTGTTTTGATTTTCTTGTCTCCACTCAGCAGTTTGTTTCTCAAATGATCCTTATGATTCCTCTTCTGAACATTGTGCTACCAAGAGTAGTATTATGTGCCCTATTTTTTCCTTTAGAACAATGCTTTGTTTTATTAACTTGGCTTTGTTCTAAGCAATTCTATTGGTGAATCCTGGACTTGACATGTCAGCTTTAATTTTTTCCTAGCTCACATTGAATTTTAACAACAATGTCTGTTCTTGTGTCACCTAGAACCGTCGGGCCTACCGTCACCCTTGCACGCAGCCATGCGATGGTCCCGGTGGAGGAGCAGCTATTATTTGTGATTAATAATCATAGCCTCGTGGGGGCCAGCCTGAGTTGTATACCTCTTCCCCATGGCCACGGTCTCGCTCGCACCTCCCAGTTCTTGTACCTTGGGGATCCCTGGCCTCATTGTACACGCAAGGAAGATGAAGCTAAAGGGTCCCTCTAGTTGACCCGCCCAGGGTCACATGGCAACTCAGGGCTTTGGTTTTGATCCAAGGTTCTGGAGACGCCTAAACTAGCATCAAGGCAACAGGCCAGCGGGACTTCTGGGTCTGCAGTGAGACTCACCAGAACCACAGGGTGGACACCGCATACAGAGTTTGGGCTAGACTCAAGGAAGGACTTCCTGGTAAGATAAGTTTAGACATCAGAGCGTGTGGCTAAGGAAGGGTGTGGACTACTCGGCTCCCCAAGTCCTCAAAACAAGATAAAGGTGAAATTACCCCGCTGGACTCATCGCAAAGCGCTGCTGCCCGGAGGCAGGAGAGTAGACTGAATGACCTCTGAGGCCTCCACCAGCACCACCGATGTGTGCACTGGCCACCAAGGCAGGCTGCGCGCAGGCGTGCCCATGGCTCTATGTGAGACCCAGGACCGGCAGGCAGGGAGACTCCATGGGAAGGGAGCTGGGAGAAAGCTTGTCTTGGCGCCTGCCCCTGGGAGGAGGGCCAACTGCAGCCACAGACAGCGATGGGGAGCAGACAGCCCTCAGGGTGAGGGCAGCATTCTCTCACACCCCCTTCCTGCCCTGTCCTGCCGCTCACCAGACCTCCAAAGCTGAAGTCCAAGGACCCGGCTGACCCGCAGAATTACTGAGCCTGGTTGAGCTGACCAGGCCCAGAAATCTGCAGTTCTTCAATGCCCTTGAGGCCTTCTGTTTGAAACCCCTGGAGCTAAGGAGTTGGGGGGCTACTGACTCGAGGCGCTGTCTTTCTTGGGCCGCCGGAAGGTAGCTCCTTGGTGGTGCACATGACTGAGCTGACCAGAGGTCAGAGGCTCAAGTCCCTCATTAGCACCTGGGAAGAAAGGCCTGGCTGTCGCTTTCCCAACCAACCAGCCTGGAAAGCCCCAGTGGAGCATCGATCTTCTTGGACATGGAACTGCCATGAGTCAAAAGCAACTTGATGACACCTGTTTTGCCCGACCCCCCACCTCCCGCCCCCTAAGACAGGTCTAACTGCAGTTGCAGACACAGCGTCGGGTCAGGGAGGTGGGATGTTTGGGGAAAGGGCTCCTCCTTCGGACATGTTCAGAGGAAGCACAGTAGCTGGCAGAGGGAGGTCCTGTTCGAGCATCGGGCCTAAAGCGCTCCCTTTGGTGAGCAAGGGAGGCTGGTGCATCTCCTGACAAGACATCAGGAGAAGACATTGCGTGGCTCCCCCAGACCCCCGACAGACCAGCTGTCAGGGGAGGCAGAGGGAGTCCAGCCAGGAGGGTCTGCCAGCGTCCTGGGGGCTTGTTGGTCTCTGTTTCTCTCCAGCCCTGACTCACCTTGGGGTAAGTCAAAACCCAAACCAAACCCATGGCCATCAAGTGGACGCCAGCTCACAACTTACAGCTCCATAGGACAGGGTAGAACCGGTCCTGTGGGTTTCTGAGACGGCAACTCTTTATGGGAGGAGTAAGCCGCATCTTTCTTCCCAGAAGTGGCTGGTGGTTTCGAACTGCTGGCCTTGCACGTAGCAGCCCAATGTGTGTGTGAGTAGGGGCTGTGAACTCTGGTGGACAAGAGGGGCTGGGACACAGTGGCCAGGAGGCAACTGACCCCTTGGCAGAAAGGCGCCCGTGTCAGCCAAGCAGGACGGGGAAGACACGTCAGCCCCTCTATCAGCCTGGCTCAGATCCCAGCCTCCTCCTGCCAACCCCAGAGAACCCAAATGGACAGGACTGGAGGGGCATCTCAGAGACACTCCGTGCCGAAACCACAGACGTTGTTTTACACATACCACACTCGAGCAGGCTGCACAAGATCCCTGACCAGGGCAGGGTATCCTGTGAATAGACTGTCTCCCTCCTTTCTTTGCAAGCCTGGCGTGATGGCGCCGCTCTCGGTCCCCCACCACGTTTATTCTGCACCCCTTACCTGGCCCGTATGGCGTTCTGGTCGTTGCGCTTGCCCCTGAGTATTCTCACAGAGCTGTTGCTCCTTAGGACAGCTTTGGGGTCTCCGTGCCTAAGCCAGGGTGCAGCTCAGAGCCAAGGTTCAGGCCACGTGTACACATTGGGGCCTGTGTGACGGGTCTTGGCACTAAGGGTGTGCTGCAGGGGCAGTCTTGGGGGCCCCAGGTGGTTGGGAAGGCCGCCAGGACAGGAGGAGCCGAGATATGTATTGCGGTCACAGCCAGCTCAGCTAGTCTAGAAGAGCAATCAGGGAGGGGCATTCTGACAGGGACCCGAGGGGAGTCAGGGGGAGGGCTGAGGGTGGGGGCCGAGCCCTCGAAAGTCTCCTGGGCTCCTTTCCTGCTCAGCTGGCCCCCAGGCCTATATCTGTGTCCTCTAGGAGGCCAGGGTGAGAGGCAGGGGCTCCGGTTACCATCAGGAGCCGAGATGAGGCCTCACGGGTGCCACTTCTTCCAAGAAGCTGCGGTGGCCGCAGGAATCCGCCTGGCCAGGGAGTTGTACGTGTTTACACTGGTGTCAGCTGTGGATGACACCCTGGCTCCTGCAACTAGCACCCCAGGAAGAACACTCTCTTCCTCACAACGTGTCCCCACTCCTGTTTGTCATGTTTATGGGCATCAGGTGGTTGACAGAGGCATCCACACCCACAGCTGGGAAAACAACAGCCCCGCTGTCCCTGGCCAGTGTCCCCCTGGAGGCACCCGCCCGCCTGCACCTCCCTCCGTGCCCCCGCTTCTGTCCCTGCCCACCCCAGCCTCTTGCTTGCCCAAACTGTTGTTTATCAACACAGACCTGAACATTCTGCTGCGAGCCGCCTCCCACACCCTGCAGTCAACACGCTCCCACGCGCCCGTTCTCACTGTGCCTGCCGGCCCAGCGCCCCTCAGAATGCACGCTTTCTCTGCGCGCGCTCGCACGCATGCTGCCCACAGACCCCTGCTGGAGGGCCCCTCACTTGCTAGCGTGTAGTCTGGTCTGAGGATGGGGGTGCTGGCTACCAGCGGGGCAGGCTCAGAGGATCAGCCAAGAGCACGGGCATGGAGTGCATGCTCAGTAAAATCAATAAGCCGCAGCCGCAGATGGGGTGCCCTGGCTGCTCCCCCAAAGGTTGGGAGTTCAAGCCCATGCAGAGGTGCCTACGCAGAAAACTTTGTGGTGTTGTGTCTCTTCTGGACCTGCCTGTCGGTTTTCCTCTCCCCTGCCTGCCTGTCAGGGTACCTCATGGTCCCCAGCTTCCCGGCTGTGTGACCTTAGCAAGGCCTCCCCTGCCCACTTCTG